TACAGTATATTATACCCCAACCCCTGTTCTAATTATTAAGGCCCCTATCTATTGGTAAGTCCTTTACTTTGAAGATCTCTTGGACACCCTTGGACTCAGGCTCAAGATCCCAGCATTCCTTTCTTTTCCCTTTTTGGGACTCCCCACGAAAGGCCATCGCGTGGCGGCTACTTGGTTTAGGGTTTAAGGTTTAGCGTTTAGGGTTTAGGGTCTAAGGGATTTCCAAGGTTGGGGGCCCCGTGGAGACTTCGCAAAGGGTCAGAGGCTTCCAGCAGCCAGCTTGGCTAAGTTGCCATCGCGTTCGATGAGCTCATCGTAAGTGCCCGATTCGACGAGCCGGCCGTTGGAGATCACAAAAATGTTGTCTGAATTCCGAATCGTGGAAAGTCGGTGTGCCACCGTGATGGTGGTCCTGCCCAACCTTGCCTCCTGCATGGCCCTTTGTACGACCTGCTCAGACACGGAGTCCAAAGCCGAGGTCGCCTCATCCAGGAGCAGGACCTCGGGCTTCCGGATCAAGGCCCGCCTCCGCTGCTTCGAGCAGCTCACCAGCTGTGGCCTCGGGGTAGCCGTATTTGACGTTCTCTTCAAGGGACAAGTCGAAGAGTACAGGATCCTGGCTAACCATGCCGACCTGGCGACGCCACCAAGCCACGTTCAGCTCCTGCTAAAGCTTATGTTTCTCTGTGCTGCGGGCTGCGGGGGGATATGGGGTTTTGCTTTTGGGGGGTTTCGCGAAGGGCCCTTTCCCAAGTCCTTCAGCTCAGTGCCTCCGATGCGAATGGAGCCCCTCGGAGGGTCGTAGAAGCGCTGCAGCAGCTGAATGATCGTGGACTTGCCGCTCCCCGAAGAGCCCACGAAAGCAACAGACTGGCCCTTCGCAATGGTGAAGCTGACATTCTTCAGTACCCGGACCTCTCAAGCGAGGCGCTTTACTGCGTGCTGTCGAAATCCTGACTTTCGAAGTTAGTGAGCTACGGTGATCTGCATGCAGGTTCTGGATTGTCGCCCTACGTTCTCCGGAGTTCGTCGCCAAGACTTGGACAATTCCCCAGCGTCTGCGAACCCCTGCAGACCCTCCTAAATAGCACAACCCGAAGCTCCTCCTTTTTTTTCTGTGGCTGTTGGAAGATAAGAACTTCTCAATGCTATATTGTTATTCTTCTTCTTACAATATTATTGCTACTCTTCTCACTGCAAGCGGCGACTATCTTTCAAGACAAGCAAAATGCTTGCGCAAGCGCAGACAGCGAGCCTCGGCACGGTGCGGATACCAGAAGCGCACATCCTTGAACTCAATCGACCCATCCCCAAGGTCTTCGATACGTCCTGTGGGTTGCGTGGCATCGATCTTGGAGACTTGATCGACAAGACGGAAAACCTCCATAGCTGCAATTCGGCCAGATGCAGCATCTGGAATGTGCTGCACAATGGAGGTGATCGACATCACACCAAACACCACACAAAAAAGAGACATCAGCACTTGGCCAGCATCGAAGCCCCAGTACTGAATGCAGACAGCACTCATCGAAAAGCCTGCCAGGAAGATCAGCTGCACGAGAGCCAAGTTCAGGCCCAGGGACAGACCCAGCCTCCAAGACCTCGCAGTATTAAGTTCTGTCAGCTTATCCAGGGACTCGTCGATGACTTCCATGATGTGTTCTTCTGCTCCGATCGCTTTCACAGTGCGAATGGAGGTCACGGCCTCGGACGTCGCTTTGCCAGCCTTGCCATACGCCTCGATCCTCTCAGGATCCCTTCGGGCGACACAGGCGGCCACTGTGAGGGCAAGAAGGCCGCAAAGCGGCATCAGGCCGAAGAGCAGCAAGGACAGCTCCCAGCAACCGAAGAAGCTGAAGCCAATGCTGAGGACGCACGTGAAGAGGGCTGCAGCCGAATTCCCAAGCTGGATGCCCAGCATCTGTCCCACCCGATTCATGTGCATCTGGAGGGACACCAAGATGCTCCCTGTCTGGTTCTCTGGGGCATCGAAGAAGGACATGTCCATGCAGACAGTCCTGGCAAAGGCTGCCTTGCGCAGGATCATGCACAAGCTTTCCTGCTTGTATGCAAAAAGGTAGTTCTGTGCGAACACCGCGATTCCCGAGCCCAAACCGACGATTGAAAGGCCAACCACGGCAGTGTCCAGCTTTTCATACATTGCCTCGAAGTCGCCCAGAGCGGCTTCAGACAGGGACACGACCGCCGCATTGAAGAAGACGGCTTCCAGTGGCATGCTCGCTGCTCCCGCCAGGATGATGACGACACTCACTGGCCAGATCCACCAGTAGCGACCTACAGTAAGCTCGCCAAGTCTTGTCATAGCAGACAGAACCCTACCTCCACAAACCAACTAAGAAAACTTCTGGGCTACGGCCACAGGAGCCCATCATGCGCAGAAGGCGGCAAAAAACTGCCGGACTGCCTGCATCTTCTGTTGCACCGTCTGCACACTCCGTCTTCTGCATCTCGCGGCCGAGGCTGCTAGCAAAGGACGCTGCAGTGACCAACTTGCCGTGCTCATCATCTTCCTCAATGGCATGGTCCTCCTCTTGCTGGTGCTTCGTTTCCTCACTGCTGGCCTGTTGCAATTTGACCATGTTGTGGTACTGGCCCTTCTTTGCCATCAGCTGCTCGTGGCTGCCCTGCTCGCAGCAGTAACCATCCATGAGCACGTAGATGATGTCCGAATCTTTGATGGTTGACAACCTGTGGGCCACAGATATTGTAGTAACGTTGCGTCCCATGGTGGCATTGGCCGAATCGAGTGTTGCCTGCACCATACGCTCGGACTCGTTGTCCAAAGCCGAGGTTGCTTCGTCTAAAAGTAAGACCTGCGGATTCTTTGCTAGGGCACGCGCGATGGCAATGCGTTGCCGCTGTCCTCCAGACAGCAGCCCACCGCCGGTGCCGACATGCGTGTCCATGCCGTCTGGGAGCTGCATCACGGTGTCATAGATTTGCGCCACCTTAGCTGCTTGAATCGCCTGCTCATCGGAAACGGAATTGTCCAAGGCCTTCAGGTTTCTCATGATGCTCGTGGCGAAAAGCACAGGTTCCTGGCCAACGTAGCCAACAAGCCGTCGCCAAGCCTTGGTCGGTACCCGACTCAGGGGAGTTCCGTTCACCAGCACCTCACCGGCACTCGGATCATAGAACCGCTCAAGGAGCTGGATGGTGGTACTCTTGCCGCAGCCGCTCTCCCCAACAAGTGCAACCTTCTGACCCTTCTCCGCACGAAAGCTGAAGCTGCGAAGAGCCCACTTGTCAAGCCTTGCCGGATACCTGAAGCTCACCTTTCGAAACTCGATGATGTCCACCTCGGTCAGGTTCGCAGGAAGCTCTTCTGGCAGTTGCCGCCCCTGCTCGACGGCGGCCTCACCGGCCTCACGGCAAATGACCTGCTTCATTGCCTTTGCAGAAACCGCCGCTCTCGCCATCACAGGGACAAAGCCACTGAACTCGCTCAGGGCTGAAACGCCCACCATGATCGACAGCATGACCGTGATGATGCGCGCGGGCTCGAAGCCGGCGTTCTCCTCAGACATAAGGACATGGCCACCAAACCAAAGCGCCAAAGAGTACATGCATGGGTAGAAGACATTGAGAATACCCCAGGCAGCACCGATCTTAGTGCCAGAGCGGATGCCACCAATCTTGGCCGGTATCAGCTCCTTTTCGAAGCGAGCGACCTCCAAACCCTCGCCACCAAAAGCCGCGACGCTGCGGATGGCCAGGAGCGCCTCCTCTGCTACTGCAGAGGCCCTTCCAAAGTTGATCTGCTGCAGCTCTGTGTAATGCTCGATCTCCTTTCCCATGCGGTGGCCGGCACACATCAAGATGGGCATCGCGGCGCAGACAACGAAGGCCAGCTGCCAGCCCTCATAGAGTGCCAAGAGCAGGCCAGCCACGAACTGGGCCAAGTTCGAGATCAGGAAGCCCAGGGCTGAGGACATAAAAAGGTAGACATTCGAGGAGTCGCTCTCCAGCTTGGAGGCGACTCCCGCCGGGTCGTGCTCATCGTACCAGGAAACCTCAAAGGACAAAAGCCCCCCGAATTCCCTGGCAGCCGAGGGTTTAGGTTTAGGGTTTAGGGTTTAGGGTTGGCTGAAAGTGCTTCCGAAGCAACGTCTAAGGAAAGCAACACTTCCACGAAGCTGCGGTGCCAGCGGAGGGCTTGCTTGGCGGCGGCCCAGGCCAAACAACTTTGCCAACCAAAGGCCAGGAAGAACTGGACGGCCGCCAGTCCCCCGATCTGACAGGGTAGGACGCGGTGTGGGTAAGGATGTATAAGGATGTATAAGGATGGATGTGGATTAGCATATCTAGCTCAGACATATGTAGAGGTGCAGCTGTTGAATTTTTGAAGTTTGTCGGTCAACTTGTCGAACACGGTACATGATGCAACTGCATAGTAACATAGTAGCCAACACGATTGCCGAAGTTACGTACAACTGGGTCTTACAGTGACCGGTTCTCCGTGCCTTGATAAACTCAGGGGTCATCGCCTCTATCTCCTTTGCATGGTCTGCGACCGCCAATGTGGTAATGCTTTCCCCCATGAAAAGTGCAATCGCTGGAGCTGAAAGCCCCTGCACAACAGCCAAGATGACGCCAACGGTCAAAACGACCTTTTCGCAGCACTTCGGGGAGGAGCCACCTGCATCTTCGATGGCCTTTCCAATGTGGTGCACTGCCGAGTTCCTGCATGCTTCAATGTCGTGGTCTTCTGCTTTCCCTGCTTCGACCTTGCCTTCCTGTTCTGCCGGTCCTTGCCCCAAGAGGACGGGCAACCGATTCTCAAATGAGCGCGGTGTCTGAGTGGCCATCGACTGCGGGCGAAGGGGACAAGGGCGCGAGTTGTGGGGCTGGATGCTTTTCGACTTCAAACCTTGCAGTAAAGGCACTCGCTTTGCATGTGCTGTTGCAAACAACGGAGATTGAATCGAAGCTTGTCGGCTTGTGCTATGCTCAGACACCGATTACGACAGTGACGACGACTACTCTGCTTCGACCTGCCGCGATCCGGAAACGAAAGCTGGCGTGGCTTTTCTGGCACCTGCAGTGAAGCCGCGCTGCTGGAGAAACGAACGCATTTGCCCGCTGCCCAGTCCACCAAGCTCGGATCCGCCTGAGTCCTCAGAAAGAATTCACAAGAAAATATAAACTTGTGGGACTTCGACAACGGAGTCCGTCCTGCTCCTGAAGGACCTTCCTCTCGAAGGCCATAGAAGTGCTCGGCCCGGCGTGACCGGATCCCCGAGCACAGACCCAGGAGGCAGTAAGGAGGCCGTGCACGGACGCTCCGAAAACGCCGCGCTCAGTGCGGTCGTTGGCTTTTCGGCTCGGGCTGCGGAGGGCCGAGCGGCTCAGGGCTCCTTTCAGTGCCTCTCGCAGCACTTCGGACTGCGGTCTTTGGTGGAGGCTCTCGCAGGCCTCAAGCGCCTGCACAAGGCAAGAGGCATCCCCCGGGTCGTCAGAGCCGAGGAGGAGGAGGAGGGCCTGCTGCCAGGCGAGGCTACGAGCGCAGGCTCCCAGCACCGCGTCCACCAGGGCCAAGTCGCTCAGAGGCATCGAGGCTCTCGTAGAGGGCATAGAGAGCAGTAAATGCAGGCTGTACTGCCAGCCTTTTGCCGCCGATGCCCTCACCAGAACTCTCCATGCCGGCAGCGGCAGGTCCGGCAGCGCTCGCAGAAGCTGAACCGCCTCTTGCCAAAGCCCTGCCTGCTCGAGGGAGCCCGCGACGATGCTGTAGCCTCGAACATGAAAGCACTCTAAGTGCTGGCTGCGCTGGCTTGCGATAGATCTCCTGCCAAGGTACTTGCTGCATCGGCAGAAGACCCCGCATCCCAGAGGACCTGCAAGCACTGCTCCCATTGCCACGCCCGCTCGCAGGCCTAGGCCAAGCATGAAGCCGCTGTGACCGCATGGGTGACCGGGCTCCCCTGCAGGCGAGGCACTGACAAACTCGCATTGAAGCTGCTGGTGTCTGGTTCCTGCCGGCAAGAGCGGCGTCAGGCCAGGGCAAGAGCCACAAACAAAAAACGGGTCCAAGAGACACATACAAGGCCGCGGGGTCCTGGCCGTGGTCACGCATGCTCTGTAACAGGTGCAGGGACATCCTCCATCTGCTGGTGGCACCCACTGCAGAAATCGTTGTGTTGTAGACCGAGGTGCGATTGAGCGAGCCACGCTGCGACTCTGCGAGCAGTGAGAGCGCACGATCCCAGAAGACCCGACCGCGCTCAAGGGCGCTGATGGCGATGCCAAATGTGGCCACGTCCGGGGTGCCACAAGCACTCACCGCGGACTGCACGAGCTGCAAACAGAGTTGCCACTTTGCAGCGCGGGCGCAGCCAGTCAGCGCCGCATTTAAGACCTGCACTGGTCCGCCCAAACCTTGGCATCTCACGGCATCTCGGCACCCCGAGAAACGCGTGCAACACTTTCCCAAATCCAAAATCTCGCAAATCCAAGAAACCCTAAACTTTCAAGCTCAAAGCTGCACAAGATACGAAAACCCGAACCCTTCAAAGCTTGGTGACAAAGATGCAAAAACGTTTAATCCCCAAACCCTAAAGCCCTCAACGGGTTGAGGGCCTAAATATGCAACTGCGGCTAGCTAGCTAGTTATGAGGTTATGCAACATGAAAGCTTTTAGGTTCAGGGTTTGCCTGGGATCCAGACCCTAGCATTGACGATTTTTCAAGCTTTTGGGGGCGCAGGGCGTAGGGTTTCATGCGTCTGGGTTACATTAGGCTTCTTGGCATCCGGCATTGGAGAACCTGGGTTTGACGAAACCTTCATTCCTTCCTTTTCCTGTCCTTCATGTTTCTTTGATCAGTGTGGACACACACGCACAAAAAAAAAAGCTCATCGTGTGGCACATCTTCCTCCTTCCCTTATGCCTCCCTTCTTTCTCCTTCCTCCTGTTTTCCCAGCCTGCAGGTCCGACCGTTGCAGAACAGAGTTTCGAAATGTCCCTGCAAACGGGAAACCGTCCATGGTGCCTGGTAGGGCGCTGGCCAGGGCCTCCCTCCAAAGCGCCGCCGCGGCAAAGCAGCCCGCCGCCGCACAGCGGCCGTAGCTGTCCAGGTCTTCTCCTGCTCTCCGCGAGTCCGAGAGCAGGGCGGAAGAATCCAAGGATTTCTTTCTATCGTCCACACAGCCTTAAGACGTAGAGAAGAATACATACTAGCATGTGATTCTCTTTCTGCTTGTTGGCAAAAACTTGCGGGATGTCTGTAGGTTTTCAAGAATTACAGAGTTTACCAGGCTCTGGCATATTTGAGAACTTTCTCGCCTGTTTCGAGGAGAGCCAGGCCCTCGCGCCACTGCGCTGCCTCGGCGAAGGCGGCCAGGAGGCTGTTCCGGGCGACCTCTCCCAAAGCCAAGGGACGAAAGGAAACCGACGTGACTTCGGAACATGTCCCATCCTGGTCGGGCATGGCCCGTAGGCCCGGCAAAGCGAGCCAGAGGACCTGAAACGTGGCGTCTTGTCAACGAGCGAATGAAGCTACTTTCGCCTCGGCCTCGGCCGAAGCGGAAGCGGTGAGAGGTCCCTTTCCTCTTTCCCCAATCCCCCCTTGCACCACCCCCCCCCCCCCCAAAGAAATCTTTTAGATGTTGGTTCTGACCGTGTTGTCCTGAAACTCCACGAATCTCCCACCCTCATCGCCCGCCCCCGACCGGGCTGAGGCGGACGCGAAGCGTCTACAATCCGGTGCTGCCGTTTCCATGGTAACTGCAGAAGCATGGAAAGGACACCGCATGAGTTCCGCCCATTCAGTTCTCGCGAACACGTTGGTTGCAGCTACACTACACATCCTGCCATCTGTTCAACGCTGTGTGCAGCCCGATAGTCTTACATGGTGCACGAGGCATGTCATCGTGAAAGAAGCCCAGCCCAGCTGCCAAAGAAAGGCCACCAGGCGGCCAGCGCTCGCTGCCACTCGGCGGCACGCGCGAGGGCATCCAGCGCTGCACCTCCACCCACCTGCGAGTGGATTCTTGGGACTTTGGAATGACAGCCAGGCCCTTCTCGGCTGCTAGGCATTGAGCACCGAAGCACCAAAAGGGAAGAGCTACTCTACATCCTCACTTTTTCCACTTGCACACGTCCAAGAGACGGATGTTGCAGCGCGACCCACTCGACGCTTCGCAAAGCCAAACAGAGAAGGTAAGGCTTGTCGGCCCACCCAGCCTTGTCCACACCGGAAGCCAGCAAACAGAGTGCTACGTGCCAGGCAGCCCCCCTGAAGTATGCAGGTGGTCGGCTGGCGTTGGGTTGGGATATCTGGGCTTGTAGGCTCAAAGCGTCGCAAGCCAAGGCTGCAAGTTCAAAACTGAGCATTTACTTGCATCTAGCCACCGGGCACAGGCGGCAATCGACCTGAGCTGCATGATTCGCTTCACCTCTTGATCAATCCCCAGCACCAACTGAAGCTTAGGAGCGTATTGCAGCTGATGGCATTGGGCCGAATCCTCTCGGAGGGCATCTCCTGCACGAACCTATGAATCCGATCGCCACGTAAATCTACGCAACATAGGTGTGTCGTAGCCGCACCTCCCGACTCAAAGCCTAGGAACGTGGTCTCAACCCTCTTACGAACCTGGTCTCAACCCGGAATCGGCTCCGAGAAGATGTGGAGGCCAGCTTGCCACTGGGCACCCTCCGCAAAAAAGCTCTTCGGCTTCGCTTGGGGTCGCTTGAAACTGTGTTGAAATCGCACGTTCGGTTTTTGCCACACAAAGATTCGGATACTCGGATACTGAGGACTCATTCCAGTAGTTTTGTTTTCGGGCCTGCCGGCAGGCCGCAAGGGCAGCGTTGAAGCAAATGGCATCCAGCCTGCCCCAAAACCAAGCTTTTACTGTTAAAGACTAAGATTTCCCGCCGGGAACGCTGACGACAGCTTCCCACTCGGCGCAACCACTAGCTAGCGACCTGCACACTACGCAGCACAGCTTGCGGCAGTCTCCCATCCCTTGCAAGCCTGAGATGGCTTGCTCGCACCGCCCGGAACAAATCTAGGGCCAATGCCCAGCGCCATCCACGTTGGTGAGCCACCTCAGAGGCTTTTCTGAATCGCCAATGGTACGCTTGCTTGAGGATTTCTGTTCATGGTCGGTCGAACTCTGAAAATTCGTCTGATTTCTTGAGCACCGCCCACAAGGGTTGATGGTCTGGAACATATGCTCCACCTGAAGTTGCAGATCCGACACGATCAATCGGGTTCTGCTCAGCAAGCTCACCTGAAGCTTTTGACTCGACCGGCAAGCCGGGATATGCAGTCTACGTGTGAAATGCACAAACACACACGAAACCTCGACTGCTGCACCGTGAACATGGCGCACCAGTCCCGGTGGAATGCGACATGGCATTGTGGTCCATGTTGGTCAGACGGTCGTCTGAAATATCAAAGTTTCCAGATCAGTGGAATCACAAGCATAGCACCATAATCAGCACTGGAATGGAAAGACATGGATCCTAATTTCAGCTCGAACTGTGCGCGAAGGTGACAACCGCCGTTCCCAAGATTTTGCCATTCTTGTCAACACCATTGTCCTAACAAGTCACACAAAGAAACCACGTAGCAAGGCCGAACGTAAGCTGGAATCTGCTCTTGCGACTTTCCATGGTTGATACGCACTTTCTTAAGGATGCAGTTACACACATAATTGAAACTGGCCGATGTGGCAGAGAAGCCACCAAACAACACTACTCAGCGCAAACTGAGTCTGGCAGCTGTACTGGTGCTCCTTTTCACATACGAAAAACTGATGCTACTGTGTCACTCTCTTTCTGCAACTCCACCCAGGCCTTGGAAGCCCTTTAAGAAGGGAGCGAAGCGGGGCTTTCTTAACATTTAAAATAGAGGGATTTTGGGTATCTTACACTATATTTAAAATAAGGAACCCCCAAAACCCTATTCGTGGGGCTTCAAAGCAGGCTTCAAGGGCCTTCAATTTAGTAAAGATGCGAGCCGGCCCCAGCTTCCGTTTTCTACCGCGTTCTGAAAACTCACTGTTGGCGATTTCACAGCCGGTTCAGTTCCCAAGACTCGGATCGGGTGGTCCAAAAAGGCAAATCCAACGGAAGTCCAAACGGAAACCCAAGACATGCAGACAAGCGTTAGAAAGCAGCAAACTTGATTTTGGCAAAAACTAAGTTATGCTGGATCGTTGTTCTGAATGAAATGAAGACTGGAAATGCACTAGTGACTCTAACCAACGTGACCAGACCTCGTTGAGCTTTGGGGCAAAGTGAACCTGTGTCGTCTTTTCCCCTTACAACGTGATGAGACCTCATTACGTTCTTGTCTGCGCAAGAATTCCCTTCCGTTCCCATGGACTTTGAAACGAAACAGGCAGTGCGAGTCTGGTGCGCTTGGGTGAGAGATGTCTAGTTCTCTGGGGGGGTAGAAAGGTTGCTCGCAACCAACTTGTATGCCATTGCCAATTACCGACCCCGTTTGACAGGTATGGTCAAACACTGTGCATGGATTCCACCTCGCTTTATTAAACTTTTGAAAAACCTAGACTTTTTTTTGCGGATGCGGGCCAAGTAGACAGCGTCAGCTGCGCTCGGTCCCAAAGATAAACCTACAAATCAACAAACCATCGAAAAGCGGTGAAACAAGAGCCGACTCGGAGACTACTGCAGGTTCACAATCTACGAATCTACGAAGTTGCCCTGTTCAGTAACGCTACGTCACGCCACGCTGTACATGGCGGCTCTCAGCGACAAGCAGAAGCAGCCAAGAGCCGTCGCCCGATAGCTACCCGAAGCAGCGGTGGATCCCCCAATGTAAAGGTCTCCGGCCGTCGTTCTCGCCCCGTCGGACAACGAGCAGCCCCGCGCCCCGTTTCCGCGTTGTCGTGCACACCTGCGCGCGGAAGAGAGCGGGTCACCTGCGTCCTGCGTGGACCTTGCCCTAGAAAAGTCTGTTCCTGCTGGCAACTCAGATTGATGGCGGTCCGTCGTCCAGCTCCTCTTGACTTGACTCTAGGGTTTAGAGTCTAGGCATCAACATAGAGCGGCGGCACGCTTTTCCTTCTGCTCTTTGTTGCACTGCGTGGCAGGAGGCGCCCAAGTAGGCGTCTCGGGATCCAGATAAACCCTGGTGACATTGTAGAACCCGGCGTGAAAGTGGATGAGACTCGAGAGAATTCTTTGCCCTTCGATTTACGCCTTGAATGGTGTGCAGTGCTGATTTCCAGACAAACTTTTGCTATGGAACTTCCAACAGATGCAAGAAGCATAAGACAGGCGATTCTTGCAACCGTTCGACAGCAACAGTCACACAAGAAATGATTGGAGGACTCCGTATCCTACTTGTAAATGGGACGGCTGCAACCTCCAACCTCTACGCGTTTCTTTAATGACAAACTTCCCGCTTTTATTTGCCGCGAAGACATGAAAGCAAAGCTGCTGTCCACATAAGAAGAAGAAAGCCACACGAAAATGCTTCACGGACTTGAAAAGCGAAGAAAATTTAAACAGTTCGAGAACCTAGCATTTTTGGCAAAATGCTCCAGTGGAGGACGACCAGCTTTTCCAAGACGTGAAATTTGATCCTTCATGAAACCTCTTCTCTCTTCTTCCACAAGACCGAGAAAACCAGACATCAGGAGCTTGCAAGCGAAGAAAATTTGTTGAAGTACGCATCTTGGCCTGCAAGGTTTGTCCGCACAAAAAAAAGGAGCATAAATTGGAAGAAAAACAATTGAATCTAACTACTGAAACAAGAACCCAAACGAAACTTTAAACTTAACTGAAATATTTTGCTTATCTTGGAAGTACGGAGGACCCGTCTACGTAAAAATAATTAAGCGCAAGAAGCTTCTCTTCCCGAAGGTGTCAGTATCAGCTTGCCACCTTGAGCCGATTGGCAAAACTGTTCCGAAACTTCCAACCGCCACTGTAAAAGTTAGAGATGAACGCGAAAAAAGGACGCCTGTGGAGGACGTATGACATCCTCTAATACTGCATCGGCACCGTCTCAGCGTCTCTTTATTGAACGGCCGATTGACGTGATGGTGTACACCTCTGACTGACTGGGGTAAACCAAACTCTCTTCCACAAAACACTTGCAAGTGCAAGTTTCCACACAAAGCACGCAAATTGTAACGTCGGATGTGCCTCAGAGTAGAAATCGCAACGTTGGCGTCGTGTGTTCGACGTGAAGACCACACAAAAGCATGTATGATGCTTTTACGTCCAGTTTATCTCGAAGTCCACCAGAAAGGTCTCTGATCATTTTCGGATGAAAACCACCTTGACCCCTGAACCAAATCTCCCCACAAAAAACGCAAACCCAAAGACCAAAACCACTCAGTTCAGAAACCTGAAACTCCAAACCTCATCCCAACAAATCACGCTTTCCAACTGTGCTGAAATCTTCGGCGGCTCCAGCGGCAACGTTCAGTTGCAAGTTTTGTTTGGGGAATGAATCGCGTCTGTGAAGAGTTTGAAGAACAGAATGGAACATTGTCACGTCATCTGCAAGACCGTGACAGTCGAACTCACTCAACCCCAAGCTTCATCTCAAAAAAGCAATTCCCGCAATTCCCCCAACCCTACAACTCTCATCTCCATGAAATGAGTTCTGGTTTTCGAGTTTTCAATAAGTCCAGACGGGGCAAGACACAATGAAACCGACCGAGTCCGCGGAACAGCGCCATTCCGGCGGAATCCAGCGAGACCGAGCTGGCTAACTCCGATTCCGCCAGGCTGCACTGTGGCCCAAAACATTTTGCATGGATTTTGCGCGCACTTTCGAGCGTTCTATCTGCCTTCTCGTCCACGTTTTTTTTTAAGCGAGTTCAACAGCCAGACTACATCAAACCACACCGCAGAAAAAAAACATGCATCAGAGAGAGACAGTCCGAACGTGTTTCTGTTTTTTCTGGTTTCAGCGGTTTTGGCTTTTGGCCTTGCGTGACGTTTGTTTCGGGATGACTCCCTTGCTGCAAAGCCAAAACGGCTTCTCAGTCCGCGCACTGAGCATTCACCAGCGATCACACACGGCCCCAAAACAGTTTTAGCTTTACGCTCCCCCAATCAGACTTTTGTATCCATGCGAACATGTCCAAAAAGCTAGAAATCACTGCGCTGGCCACGTATTCTGCATGTCTCCATTTACAACACCTGCAAAAGCATGCAGCGTCAAATGGACGTGGGCCTACTACTACCACTACTACTACTACTACTATTACTACTACTACTACTACTACTACTACCTTCTTCTTCCGGACGCAGCAAGAGGCACTCGCTTCGCGGTTACGGTGTTTTGACGGGGTCCGTACCCCGGCGCTAAGCGCACCTCGATCCTTCGCGAGATTCAAAAGAGATCGTCGCCCCCCGGTCCGAAGACCCAATGATGCGAGGGCAACTTCTGTGCTACATGATTGAAAGCGTACAAAAGCATACATAACATGTGAAAAGATCCAGACTGCAGAAAGGGATCTATGGCACAGGCGGCAGGGACTACGCCAAAACTAGTTGTCCGAGCACGGCACACACTGACGGTGCTCAGATTCCACCCATTGCCGAAGCTGATGGAGCAGTACGAGGGAGACATCCTCCCCATGTCGCCGCAGCTCGGCCTCCGCACGCCGGAGTCGGATCGTTGCTGGCAGAACTGCTCCCGCCTAGCCCATTCCGCGGCGTGCAGAGTGGTGGCCATAACGATGAGGGGAGAGAAAATGGGCCGCACGCCTCGCTGTCCACATGCAGGAGATGATAACAAGCGGTCCTGCCTCGCCAATCCTCACAACTACTGCTACAGTAATGCTGCAAGCAGTGCCACCTGTGGACACGCACTCACATGCTCCCAGGAACAAGAATGAGCCGCTTCTGAGCCGCCCTTTGCTGGAAGCTTTCAGGATTGTGTGTAAGACACACAGCCTCCAGAACCTCTGGACACGAGTCTCGTGGCGAGCCCTGCACCAGCACTGGCAAAATCCCACGAGACAGCATGACATTGTGGTGAAGGGGTCAACCTGAACCTTAACAGAGGACTCTCTATCCTATCAGCTCCTAAGTTGAACCTGTTGATTTGAATCAGCAAAACCCCAGGCACGCCCAGCGTGCCATGCACACCCGGCTGGTCATTCCAGGCATCCAGTAAGTGCCAGACCGAGAGCTCGCGCCCGTGGCAGGCCGAAGGGTATGTAATGGCGCTGGAAACCAGAGTGGCCAACAGGAGCCGCTATCTACAACCTTAACCGTACCATCACCATGTTGCCTGGCTTGCCACATATTACTGGAAACTGACGCACAAAGGTGTGTTCTAAGGTATGGGAGGTATCCTAGTCCCTGTATTTGACACCGATTTGACTCAGCCGTATGCAATGGAAGTACGGTACGCAAGATACCGTTGCACAAGTCTCCGCAAGCTGGCCACTGCCGAGCTGTATTGCACAAGGAACAGCTTATGCCAATAACGAATGATAGAACTCCTGCCCAACGTCTATTCCCCACTGCGGAGAATTTGACGTACGTACAGCAGTCTGTTTATGCTGTCCTTGGGAAGCAGAGCCAGCTCTCCGATCTCGCGAATCATGCGGCAGGCTTCGTCCCAGCCCAAGGAATCTCTGTCCTTCTTCACCTCACCCATCTTTATCTCCTCCTTGTTGTACTGGAGGTGGAAGATGGTGCCGTCGGCATTGAGAATCAGCATCTCTTCCGTCTGCTTCTTGGATTTCTCGGTGGCCAGGCAGGACTGCATCCTCTACAGCCAAACCGTGGCAAATCTGTGGAGTAGGGTTGCCCGGAGAGTCAGCGTGAGCTCCTGAGGCTTCTCGGCCTTTGTCTGCCAGATGGTCGTGGCCTTGAACTGTCCGGTACCATAGACAATATCCCTTTGGCAAAACATGACGAAGCCAGATTC